GACGTAATTCTGGTATATGTCGTACGTCCTTCAGTGTTATTGTGCACATAATATCAGTTTGAATGCACACATCACCAACTCCCACAATATTTGCAATGCTGTTGTTTCCCATCTTTACTCTACCAAAGTCTCCTTCTTTGTATAGAGAAAAGAATTCCTTGTGAGATGTTGCATGGTATGATGCTGCTGAGTCAATGACCCATTCAACACATGAATCTGCAACGTGACACTCTTCTTCTTCAACAGAGAGCAACACCACTTCCCCATTGATCACAAGGGTTGCGGTATTTTCATCGTTCTCTGTCTTGTTATTTCTCCAACCTCTGTTCTTCCAGGCTTTTCAGTTTCTTTTGATATGCCCTTCTTCACCGCAGTGATAACACTTGAACTTTCTCCTGGGTTGAGATTGTGATTTATCTCTGGATTTGTTATCCCGGCCTCTGCTTTTACTTCTCCCCCTGGTTTCTGTAACCAGGGCTTGGGAACTGCTTCCCCCTAAGTCTTTTCTTCTTGTTTCTTCATTAAACATACTGTCTTTGACTTGGGTCAAAGTCAGTTTTCCCTCAGGAGCAGAGTTGCTCAACGAGACCACCAGAGTCTCCCAGCTATCCGGTAAAGAACTCAAAAGTAACAGCGCCTGCAGTTCTTCATTAAGTTTCATGTCCATGGTAACGAGTTGGTTTACCATGTCTTGAAACTCATTCAGGTGCTCTGCAACTGATCTTCCATCCCGGTATTTTAAATTTACAAGCTTTCTAATGACGAAAGCTTTATTCTGTGCAGTCTTCCTCTGGTACATTTGTTCAATTTTGTTCCATAGAGTATGGGCTTTCGACTCTGTGGCAACATGGTGGAATATGCTGATATCCACCCACTGTCTGATTAAACTGACAGCCTTCCTGTGTAACTTTTTCCAATCGTCATCCTTCACATCATCTGCCTTGTTGTCTCCCTTTTCTACAGGATCGTACAGATCTTTGTAGAAAAGTATGTCCTCCATTTTTGGCTTCCAAATGGAGTAATTTGTTGCTGTGAGCTTCACCATGGTACCCACGTTCTCCTCCATTTAATTTACACTGGTCGATACAGAGCCCAACGTGAGCTCTGATACCACTTGTTGGGCTCAGATGCGCAATGCGGAAGATGTAAATCAAAATATCAAGGTAAAATGGTGAACAATAATCCCAATCCCAGCAACTCAAGAATGATAAAAAAAAATCTCTTGCAATAATACCGTAATAATTCTTTTTTGATGTGGAAGATCAGATTAAACTGCAACCACAGAGCATACTAAGAATATCCCAAATAAATAAAATATGTAAGAAATAAGACACAAAGATTTAACGTGGAAAAACCTCCAAATAGAGGAAAAAACCACGGGACAATCTCCGAACAATTTCACTATATTTTCAAGATAATTACAATATCTTTTCACACTCCCTTACACTAGAAATGTAAAATATAGTGACCCAGTGAGACCCCACTCCTAAACAAGGAATAATAGAGTTGATACCCAACCCAGTGTATTTTTCCCACACTCAAAGGATTTACTCAAACACTCTATTTTTATCTCACTGAAAAATAACACTCACAAGATGTTATTTCTTCTCTCTTTTTCTTTCTTCTGCTTCTCGGTGCATCCTTCAGCCTGCAAATGATCCTATTTATAGGAAAAAATTGTACAACTTGACAAATAATGGCAGCTCACAATTGTCAGAAATGACAACCCATTTCAATAAAAAATTCTAATCATTGTAGTTGTTGGAATCTTTGTTTTTCAATGTTTGGCTGGACTTTCAAGTGGATGGACCCCACAGCGCCCGCTAGACAAATTTTTTGATAAATGCTTAATAATGAAATTAGTGTTCTAAAAATCTACAAGCCCGAAATATATAATACTCCCTCCTTTTTTTTTTTTAAATGTCATTCTAGCTTTATCAACTATTTGTCAAATAAATGTCGTTTTGGATCTTTTCTATATATTTATTCATTATTATTCTCATTTAGCTAATAAATACATTACATCTTTTCATATTCACTCTTCACTTTTTCTCAAAACATTAATCTCTATCTTCATTAAATAAGGTGATTATTGACAAAAAAAATATTCTTAATTAACGTGCAACTTCTCAAAACGACATATATTAAAAATATGAGGTAGTATTATTGAAACCACATTATTGTAAAATAATAATTATAAATATATAATATTTTGAATGATCTTTATATATTTGATAGTGTTGTTTAATATATATAAAACCAAAAAAGGATGGCCAATTATTATTACCCCAACCTTCCCTTCACATTCGGGGTCAAAATTTTCTCCCTTTTGGATTATGTCACGTGCACAAAATTATTACATCTCATTCGTGGAACACATGAAGTAATAAAATAACATGAAACCCAAACTCATTATCAAATTTGAATGAGGGCAGTTGGAAAATTTAAATAAAAACACAATTTCTAATATCCTATTAATTAGGTCCCTTAATTAAATACAAATCATGCTTCCAAAATGCGACATACTCGTCACAATGAAAAAAACGTCTCCGAATATTACGATGAGCTTAACCTGCTCTTAATTAATCTGCCGACGAGGAGAATGTGAACATCGTGTGTTTTGCGATTAATACAGAAGATTTAAGGGGGAGTTCACTCGAGTTTGGTTCTTGGAATAAGAGAACTAGTTAGTCGAGATTGGCGGGTCAAGATTTCTCATATATCTTTCGCGAGACGAATTTCGCAGCTGACTTTTTAGCGTCTCTGGCAGCATCGACTCATTTCGGTCTCCATCTTCTATCAGCTCCACCGCATGGCGTTATCCCACGACTAGAGCACACACGATGTTATTGGTGTTTTTTATCCTCAAAATGTTTATTAAAATTACACACATTATGTATGATATATTAATTTTTCGTGACATCAACTTATATACCCAACAAAATTAAAAAAAGAAAAATTAAAGAAAGAAGAAAAAAAAAACCTTAAGTTGCTTTCATTAATTTCACGTCCATACTGATATAATCTGCTGCTTCTTTTGTATGCTACATATTCCCAATTTCTGCTAAGTCTTAAAAACCATATTGCATGGCCATGTTTGGCTCAGTTTTTACTACAGTCCCTGTCCCAAATAGGCCCCTCTGGATAAAAAAGATGATAACCTATGGTAAATATACTGATAAAAACATCGATTATTCGTTATAATCGATGTTTTTCGAACTCAGACAATACATGTCATTCATGTGCTTTTTCGAATCGATTCACCATATTGTGTAGCATCAACAAACATGCGAGAGATAATTATATTATTAACCAGAGGACTTAATTATATAAAATTTTTTGAAAATTAGTGATTGGATTGTATAAGCATGAAAGGCTAATAAGGCCTTTTATTAGGTCTGCAAACTACTTCACATGTTCCATGGACCCAAATGTAACATGGACATGGGCTTGGGCTTTTGTTAAAAATATGTTTCAAGGCCTGGTAAGAGTTTGTATTCAGAAAGCAAAGAAGATGTCCATTGCTTAATAGCTCCAAAAAAGTCAACTTTATCTTCAATTAAGATATATTAATTTATATATTTTATGAATTTTTTATTTCTGATTTATTTTTGTCATTGATTTCTATGTTTCGTTATTTTTTAGTTTATAAATAATCTATGTATATTTTTATTTTGAATGTCGTATATTATTTTAAGTTTATATACAAAAATACAATAAACAAGTAAAATAACCTTAATGGCTTTGCAGGTATAAATTTTGGAAGGCCCATACACTCATTAACACTTGAGGTTTCTCATGTATCATCAATGCTTTACATGGTATATTGAGTCATGACTAGGGCCGCAAATGAGTCGAGCGGCTCACGAGTGCTCGACTCGAGCTCGAGCGGCTCGAGCACGAACTCGAGTTGAGCTCGAACCTATATTTACCTTGTCGAGCGGCTCGAGATATACGTTAATGACAAAAATACCCCTTATTATATATAATATCATAAGTGTTTAAAGGTATTTTACCTAACTTTCGAGCCGAGCTCGAACATTTTGATTTCGAGTCGAGCACGAGTCGAGCTCGAATTATTGTAATTTCTTATCGAGTCGAGCTCGAGCCAAAAAAATCGAGCTCGAGCAGCTAAAAAAAAAACTCAATCCTGCTCGATAATGCCAATGCTCGACTCGACTCAAGTTATTGTAGCCTAAAAGCCGAGCAGCCTAAAAGCCGAGCTCGAATATTTTGATTTCGAGTCGAGCTCGAATTATTGTAATTTCTTATCGAGTCGAGCTCGAGCCTAAAAAATCGAGCTCGAGCAGCTAAAAAAAAAAAACTCAATCCTGCTCGATAATGTCAATGCTCGACTCGACTCGACTCGACTCCACTCGGCTCGTTTGCATCCATAGTCATGACTCGTGAGGTTATATTTTCTAAATTCTAATAAAAAATTGTCCAATTACAGACAGGTCCTCAAAGAATCCAATCTACTCTCCCACTTATTCAAAACCAGGGAAACGCTAAGGTCCCGTTACGGAATCATTCTGTCGGAGTTTCTAATCCTTAGACATCATGTAACCGTCAGAGATAGTTGATCTAACGGTTACAAACCCGACGGAATAGTTCCGTAACGGGACAGTAGCATCTTCCTCACAACCAAATCACAACTTAAAATGACATAATAACAGTGTATCTTTTAAAACCTTCTAAAAGAAGCAATATAATCCCAAATCCCACTCCTAATAAAGTACTCAAGCTACTCATCTTTTGTGGAGCTCTAAATTTAGTCCATATGTAGATACAATATACAGGCCATGCAAAAAACAAATTTTATTAGCAAGCACCTTATGTCACTAGCATGCATAAATAACAAGAAACTATTGCATGGCACTCTTGACAAAAACAACTGTTGAAAAAAATCACATCCTTTTCATGAATAGCTTCATGTCAAATTATCAACCCACCATTACACAAGCAAAGATTATCATCATTCATTCATTCATTCATTCTATTTACCCAACAAAGCCCATATTTGTTTCTTTACATCCATGAAGTTTCCTCCTTACTATCTCCCCCTTCACATCCTCAACAAAAGAAGCAAAATTCCTCTCAGAACTCCCATCTTTAGACACTCCATTCTTCATAACTTCCCTTACTTTCCCAATTTCACTCCTCAACTCATTCGACCTTTCCCCGTCGCTACTAATCACAATCCCGATCTTATCCCTAACCTCATCACCTGTGATAACCTCACCGTCACACAAATTAATCCCGACCCTCCAATCATCAACCACCAATTTCCGATTCGGTATTTGGTCCGTAAAAATGGGATAGCAAATCATCGGCACACCATACCATATACTCTCGAGCACCGAATTCCACCCACAATGTGTTAAAAATCCACCGACGGCCGGGCTCGACAAGACTCGATTTTGATCACACCACGGCACGACTAACCCTTTACCCCTCACACTATCCTCAAACCCATCCGGCAAAATCCCATCACAAGCAAAATTACCCGTTATCCCGGGCCGCACCACCCATATAAAATCAACCCCACTCAACAAAAGCCCGTTCGCAATCTCCTTAATCACACTCCTATCCACCTTTGCAAGGCTACCAAACGACACATAGAGAACCGACATTTGGGCCCGGGAGCTTAGCCACTCCGTTGGGTCGAATTCGGGCAGAAGGCTTTTCGCTATCTGGCTTTTGAAAGAGC